GTGGATTGGCCAACTCTTGCAAATTATGTCACATGATCTTAGATGTCCATTTTACAGTAGATGTTGGGTGCACGTTGCCAAGTCAGACATTGTCCACCAGATGTGGGAATTGAACCATTGACTCTGCGCGGACTGGGTTTGTGATGAGCACTGTACCACTTGGCTATTTGGCCTCATAACCAATTATAGGCTTGAACGATTTGATTTGGACACAGTGCAGATTTGTTGTAATTTCAAAATTCTGTACACAAGCATGAAATACATAAGCGCGTAGAAATTCAATAAATAAACAGGTAAAGAAATTAAACCAAACAGCTTCTGCTTTACCCATAATTTCGCTTGTTTGGATGTACATTGTTGTTGAAGTCCGTTTATTTTATTATATCACTTAAATGCGTTTCAAGTAATGTTTTGAGAAGATATGTGTTGCATTAAGGCAGATGAATGGGCCCCAGCTGAAGCGTGGTAGCAAGACCAACTCTGAACAACTGCAGATATCGCTTTCATGCGGGGTAATATTGGATGTACGCTCCGCTCGCTTCACACCGCAAATGCAAACACACGTTTTTCACGCCTGTTCATTTACACACTCATCTAAAGCTGCTCCATGAATGACAAGTCCATAAATCTGCACTGCCAATGCTGTACAATTCCATAAAGGCAAAGCAGTGTAATGTTGTTAGATATCCAAATCCCATTCTATGACCACTGGGCCAGAAAGACTGAGGAAACGCTATGATTGCTTGTAGTGCATTCGCTAAGCAGTGGCCAACTTCTACCAGTATTGTGAATGATCAGGAATGGAACTCAGGCTGTCGCAGATGTAGTATAATAAGACCTGTAGTGTTGTGGGGGGTGGGGATTTGGATGTGGCTGAGCCCCCCCTCACACCCATCTGAAGTCTTAACCCGCCTCCCATCTGAATGTATATAATCAAGGCCGATCGCATCGTTACTCATTCTCTTTAGCGTTGAACATTTGCTTAAGAGTTTGGTTAACATTGACTGTGTTGTGCCCCCCTCCTCCCCCCCCCCCCGAGGTTTATATGCTCCCCCTCTATTACACAAGGTCACACTACTGGGTTGAGTGCAATGCTCTTACCACTAAAGCACAGCACCTATGTACACAAATGCATCCACCATACATGCATAAATACACTGGCACGTATACATACTGTAAATACTGTGACTGTATAAATGAATGAACATAGAAGGATATGTTTTGTTAGCATTTAAGTCAACCGATTGGCCTTGTGGCCCAGTGTGTACCCGCAGTATTCGTGTAAGCAACAAGCCCTGCACTCAGCATACATAAACTAGCCTCCGTTCTACATCTCCATGTAGTTAACATGTTTTTAGTCAATTTATCTATTGGCTTTCCAGATCAACGTTAATCTGCAGCATCAGTTTAAGTAATCAAACTCTGGGCCGGTATCAACTTCGGTCTGATCGGAAAAGTCAGACTCGTAGAACAGATATTGGCAAGACTGCTCAGCCCCACATTTTCAAAATCGGTCCAAGAGTTTGCATGCCTCAAACAAATGCTGCTGGATGATATTGATTTTGGCACCCAAGAAGCTGTACGTGGAAACACATTACGGAGATCTGCTTATAACTGCCATTACCCGTGGCTCCACAACAAGGCAAGATTAACTTGGATACAACTCTGGACTGGTTTGCCTGATTTTGTTGGGACACGCTCTGCCGAGGCACATCAGCAGTGTGTGTTCCATTAACATCCCACTGCAATTAGTACAGAAAAAAACAGCTATTGGAGATGCGTACCTCTGGAATAATTTATCTTGATGATCACTCGTCAGATTTTTCGTAAAATAAAGTAAACAAAAAATCCCACTCCTCTCAACACCAGTGGAACTGCCGACACGTATTTACGACAATTCTGACAAAAACTAGCAGTCATTAAAGATGGGAGCGATAGCCCGAGTCTACGTATCCCGGTGCAGTTTTTGAGATTTGTAAGAGAAACATATATATTAGGTCATCCTCTGGAGCGCTACTATATAGGGTTGCCACCTGTCCGACTTTTCCGAAGATCGTCTTCTTTTGAGGCAGCTACTGTCCTGGAAAACTGTCAGTATTCCCAGAACATTATAAGTCCCGGTCTTCCCAGTTGTGAAATGAGACACCACTCAAAACAATGATTTTACTTCCCGTCTTGTGCGATACGCTTACTCTTACCCTGACACATCCCAGTCTTCTGCATCTCAGAGGTGGCCACGTTACTGCTGCCATAGCATGCTCTCATCACGTCACTGCAGCAGTGCAATTCGTCTGCGTGGTGATGCAGCGTGGGAGCGCTGCGCTTCGGGTTATTTGTGACTCGCCAGTTGTTTAGCCACTGGATGTCGATGCCACCACGGAATTCCAACGCAGAAATGGCTTTGTCCCAGCTGCGCAGTGATTAGGCTTGGTTTCTGGAGTAAATCGGCAATTTCCCATTGACACAACAGGGGAGTTTTAACTGGCGCACTCGTGGACAGGATGTTCTTTTTATAACGAAATATAAGCTATAAAACAAGTCTGTTAAGAGAGCCTTCATTTGTTTGGTGATTTGACCGTACAAATGTAAATTCGTAAGTACGCAAACGTGCTTCCGAACAAGAACATACCCATTAATTGCACAGGTATGCAGCAATACAGATGTCTCGTTTAATGAGCAAAATACGTTCCGCGAAGATTTTTAACGATCACCGTGTTCTCATTGAATCCCATGTGTAACATCCTCAAAATGTTCCACCCTTGAACAACGTGAGAAATACCAATTGTAATTTTCAAATAAAGTAATAACACATCAAATGTAACACTTACCACACGTGAAGAACCGCAGTGCTTGCAGGTGCCTGTCCTCAGCGTCTGCAATTAGCGCCGCCGCCACCCCACACCCATTACAGTACCACCACTAGACCCCCTCCCCATACGACGAATCATGCGGGAGCACAGCACAGGAGAGCTGGTAAACAAACAGCTGCGGGCAGCCGTGCCGCCCCCTGCCACCACGGGACGCATTTAATTGATCGGTCTCCTCTCGCAAAGCGAAAATTTTGCTCGTTTTGCGAACAAATTGGTCTAAATTTAAATTGCTCATTATGGGGAATTCTCGTAGAAAGAACGCCTGTTAAGCAAAATACACCTGAATGTATTTTAATGCCACTATTTGCCAAAAATGGTAAATATACGGACCTTCGTATTGGTACGTTGTTTGATATGTTTCATGGCAATTGGTTTATCGGTTTTGTTGCTTTCGTGAAATCACCATCGCCTTGATCGTGTAATAGTTAGTACCCCACCTACCATGCAATGCGTCTCGTGGCGGCTGAGAAATTTGGAGATCCTTACTCAGTGGGGAAGCGATTGCCGACCAAATACAACGTTCAAATTTTTTTTTATATAGACAATACACGTGATAAACGAGAGGACAACATTTTTATTCTAAAATGTGCTTGAGTCGTCTCTATTTTTTCCACTTCATTTGAATTATTATCTGAGAATAATTACTGTTTGTGGGTGAGCTGCTTCACAACTTTGGTGCCAAAACAACAAATCCCCTTTCAGTAATTGTCAATCTGGTCCAAAGATTTAACAATAAAAACGTTCTACCACGAGAAAACATATAAAGTGTCCTGGGATACTGGACTGATAGACGGGCAGAAAATGGACAAAATGCTTCCCGAGCATAGGAATCAGCAGTCATTAGATTTACAAACAAAGCACCTCCAGTTACGTAGCACCCTATTGGCAGAGCAGCTCGCCTACCCATAACCCCTTGCACGACACAGACGCAGTGGCGGTTCCTCTGTGGTGAAGCAATGGGGAGAGATCTCCCCCCACCCCCAAAACTAAAAAAAGAGACATTTTATCGATACTTTTAAAGTTTGGATAAAAAAAAAATCTTGAAAGTTCAGGAAAGCCCCCTGGGAAATTTCTAGACCCGCCTTTGCACAGATGCTTTAATCGTTTCCTGTTCTTAGTATAATTTGTTTGTTAATGAGTTGTCCGTCTCCAACCCGTATTGACCAAACAAGCTCCATGACTGACAATGAGCTGTACATTATTAGTGACTATTATATACAGTAATGTACGGGAAAAGTAAATGTATTTATGATTACAGGCATACCTCTTAGAGCGCTGCCTCTTATAGTGCTGATAAGCGCACACATGGAACTGGTGATCAGGCCGCGCGTGAATAGCCCGACACCCTGAAGGCGATCATCCACCAAGGCAACTACAGGACGTAACTTACTTTTATTTTTATGCCATCATTAAAAGTTCAAATTTTCATTCATAATATGCTTTAATACATTTATCATGTATACCGTATCATTAAGGCTGTTACCGATACACCAATGAAGCTCTCATATATCGCTCATAGTTAAAAAAATAGCACTGTCGTAACGCATCTCCTTTGGAACCATGTTATAGTGACTTCCTATAGTGCTGTTTCGTGTAGCGCTCCATTTATCAAGAATGCATCCTGAGCGCTGTAAGAGGTATGCCTGTATATACTATTTACCTGGATATACTAATGATAATTTAAAGCTTTCGTCACTGCAGGAATTCATATTATTTGGGTCTTTCGGTAAAGTGAACCTATCTACGTGACTTTACTGAAAGACCCAAAGAATATACTAATGATACAAATACAAAATAAATTTGGAAATGCGTACATGGCTACTCAAGCGGAGAGAGGTCTTGGGCCTTTAAAATTAAGGAGATGATGCACAGATGCAGGAGACAGTAGAGTAGATATAAACGTGTGCCCGGTGTTACAGGAAAAAAGAGCCATTCACGAGCATCGAGAGTGAACGGCTGAATTAGGTGGACCACACACAGGAAATTAGGTGGACCACACACACAGGAAATGTCAAATGGCAGCTTACCACTGGGGTCCCATGGGGCTCGGCACCACTCGTGCAATCGCAAAAGGGGAAGAGAAAAAAAACTTGACAAACCTGACCTGCCCATTCAAAATATTACACACTGCTTTCCACACAGCCCTTTCCCCATCCCCCCCTCTCCTTTCCCAACCATCGTGGGTTTCTAGGCCGGCCAACCGGCCGCCACTGCATTCGTCCAACGTCCATCCGAATTCATGGTCCGCTCAGGTCTCCGCTCCCAGCCAACAGCTCGGACAAAACTAGCAGCATGAGCCAGATGACGGGGATGACGCGGCGGAAAGCAGGCGAGCCGGAGCCCACGTGGGTCTGGCTCCGCTCGTCCACGCTGCAACGCGTGCCCACCCAGCCGCTGAAGCAGCGGCACTCGAAGTTCATCCTCCAGCGCGCGACGTCACGAGCCGGGAGTCTCCCACTCACCACGAAGCCACCCCTGGCTCGTGGGACGTCGCCGGCATCACCACCTCCATCCTCCCATGTCCACGGCCGCTGAACCTCAAAAGCGTCGTCGCTCAGATGCAGAAGGGCGCCACTGTCCGGGTCTTTGCGAGCGCAGCGTCCGTTCCTGCGGCACAGCGTCTGGCCACAGAGTCGCGCCGCGGATGTCACATTCACCACGTATGGGCCCAGCCGCTCTGCAATGTAGCTCCGTAGTTTCTCGCAGTTTGCCTGCGAGGGGGCACACCGGCAGACGGGGCATCGCCAGGATCATTAGGCGTGAGAAAGGAGTGGTAAAGGATGCGCTCGCTGCTGCCCGTGATGTAATGGTCAGCACACTGGACTTGCGATCTAGAGGTCGCTGATCCGATTAAATTAAAACAATTGGGCCACTTTCTTAAACCGCCACCCCCCCCCACCTCTGTCCACCCAGCAGTATAAATGGGTTCACCACAGCTAGTTTATCAGCAGATCACGAGTGAAGGAGTAGAGTTTGGGTTTTCCCAATCCGTTCAAGATGTCCAGCCAGCGTATAAAAGTTGGCCATAAATACCTTCCAGAGCGGCTCTCTAGAGCCCCCTCTAGTGGGGGCCCTTGTGTCAGCAGTGGCGTAAACAATTAATTGCAGGGCTGTGCAGTTTCCTTGAACTGTAATTATAATGATGCCATTTATTTGGAAAGCCTAACTGGGTATCAAAGCCTCCTTTTCAGGATGGTCCTCAATTGGGATGTTCTCCCAATGCCCAGAGAACATCCCACTTGCTGTGCTGCCCACTCAGATGGGTTCACCACCACACCTGCAGTACTGCCATCTCCTGGCCACCTCAACCCTAGCAGGTTGGGGAGTTGCACAAACCTACGTGATCAACCAATACTTGCCTACAAATGACCGGATTGCATCCGCCACTGCCATACCACATTCCAAAATGATTCCAACACTTTTATTCCGCGTCTTTCAGTGAAAACTCACCCCAAGGCACCTTACGTTGATGCACATTTTGCACAAGTTTCTTATCTGCTCATTATGACTGCATTAAACAACTCACCACACATACACTGTGCACAATGAACATTCTTCACAACAACAGCCAGGTTTCGAAATGAGACTTACAATTCGACAGCTTTGCATCACCATAGGAGTATTTTGGGAGCACATTTGACAAAGATTCACCTGTACCAGCCAAGTGGTTTGGTGGAAATGTCAGGCGATAAAAGTCTGACCGTATCAGCCTTGATGGGTTGTGCAGTGTAATACGTTGAATGATATTTGCAGGTGGAAGGCCATGGGTTTCCTTAAACCTTAGGCATCAAGATCGTCAAATTGATGCGTGCTCTCACAGGGAGTCATCACTATTCCTGAGTAAGTGGTGTGCCATGCTTTATTACTCTGAAAAATATTGGAACAGCTGGATTTTGAACAAGCCGCAGCGTGTGCAAAGTTGACATTAAAAGACGAAAACAAATGGCGTCTACTTCATGAGAAACTTAATTTGTCTGTTTGAGTCGGTCGGTCGCAACGCTGGCGTGATTCGCGTCGTACAGAGTTGAGTTCAGGTTCCTTCTGACCAGGAGGAACCCATTAATAATTAGTTACACATCGCCAATGATTTTTTACTTAAGTAAAAAAGCCGTGTGCAACTTTTTTTCACGAGTAATACAATGAAGTTTTATAATTGCCTAGATGTTGCTGTTGCTACGTGTGTTTACCAATTTATTCATTTGCGGGTAATTTTTGTGTTAGGATGTTTTGGCCGATACATGTCAATTTGTTTTTTTAGCTATAGGAGGAAACCGAGAGAACCTGGAGGAAACCCATGCAGAACACTGGGAGAACATACAAACCCCACACGGAAAAGTTCCCGGGTTGGGAATTGAATCCAGGTCCTTATTGCTGAGAGGCACCAGGATCGTTACAACTACGCCACCCTGCCGCCCACTCATCTATCGCTGTAACGGTTCGAGTTGGGAATTTGTTTGTGGACGCACCCTGGAGCGAGCGTACTTGATGTCTCCCCACAGGATGACTCCAGCTGCCCCCAGTGCTGCGCTCTCCCCGATGCTGTGCTGCAAGTCGACCTGTAAACACAGAGAGAGATCGGCCGTTCACAAGAGGCTCCAGTGAAACGGATTCTATGCATTGCAACAGCTCTCTTGACTCGATGACAGTCCCCCACCCCACAAAAGTTCGTCCGAGACGAAGGATCAACCAGAACAGCCCCGTAGAGTCCCCCTGCTGCAGGCTCAGTGCCCCTTTATTCTGTTTAGTGTTTGACATTAGTTTAAACTTTGTTTGGTGTTGACTGTCAAGCCCCCCACCCCCACCTAGTGTTTCTACGTGCCCCCTTTAGACAAGATCACGCCGCAGAGTTGCAAGGCACAGAGGGCTGCGCAGCGTGCGAGCGGAGCCACGGGAGAGGCAGATCTCTCGCCTGCTGGCCCCGTGCCGCTGCTGCTGGGGTGACTCGCGAATTCACTCAAAAGAAAAAATTAATACTTATAAAATATTTATTTTATTAAATTAGTGTGTGATCTCTGCTATGAAGGAAACGGCCAACACACAGCCTTAGGATATATCTATAGTAGGCGAAATTTCGCGCAATCACGATTATATATATGTTTTCGTTTCAGACACTGTCCTTGGCGAATGTGTTGAGTTGTTTTGCAATTTGTGCCAGTGCACCACTACCAACGTAGTATCGAGTCGTTATTGGTGCGGTCCAGTCACTCACACGAGCGTAGTCGGCTCTGAGATAAGTGGTGAAGATTTCCCATTCCCATAAAGCGTCTGTCTTAGTGTTGTGTGGTAAAAGACGACGCTGAGGCAGGTCTTCAGGTAAGGTCTTGCGCCGGTTTATTAACAAAGGGAGTGAGTAACCACCAGGGGTCGGTGTCCTACACTGGGTCCTTCTCTTGGACCCTTATCTCTCTCTACTGCTAGTCGGCTGGCCGTCTCTTCGGGCTCTCTCGAGCCAACACCTACCTACCGACCGAGGAGAGCAGCACCTTCCGTAACTACAGCCACTTCTTCAGCTCTACCCCTAGCTGTCTCTCCAGCTCCCTTCAATCCCTCTCAATGCAGGACTCCCCCAACGACCCCGCTTTTGTCACGGGGCCCCCCTTAAGTACCCCTAGGTTACATGACGTCATCGCACCTCACAGCACGAATGACGTCACGTCCCCATATTACTCCTCTACATTACCCCCCCGTGAAAAAAATCAACCGACCCGGCTGTGAATGATATGGAAGCAGAGCCCCGTTAACCTGAAGAGGAGACAACAACGGATAACAATGATAACAAACATGTGAAGCGCATGCGAAGGTGAAGTCGTCTGCGGGGAAACCGAACAAGAACATTAGGGCAGCACGACAATAAGGAAGGCCATCATCACGGCGATGGCTGGAGGCCGATGACAAGGGTCCCAATGGCCATCATCGGAACCGAACGCTCCTTGACCGCGTGTGAACTGCAGGTCCGCTCCCATGTGCGGTGTCGGTCATAGGGAGAAACAACGCGCCAGTTGGCGACTGGCTCGATGTCGGGGCCTCCACAGGAAGAGGCGTCGCCTCAGGAACTACTGGTGGGGGCTCTGTCGGCGCACACACAGGGCAGATATTGTGCTCAACATCAAGACCCGTGCGGCCCGATGTGTCGGACGAATCAATCACCGGCCGCTCAGGAAGTGGGGATGAATCAAGGAGGCTAGGTGGTACATGTCTTTTCAGCCACGACGGGTGTACGATTCAGTGCCGGTGACAGAAACGAATGCGAATACATTGTGGGTGTCGGACCTCCACGACCTCAACAGGGCCTTGCCAAGGGCGGTGCAATTTAGGGGATGTGCCAACAGGTACTTGGGGGCAGGGGAGCCACGTCTCTGCCCCTTTTCCCATGGAAGGCCGGAGGCCTGATGTTTCGGCAGGTGCTTGTTAGCCGCCTGCCGGCTGGCCGAATTATACACAGCTGCCTGCTGTGCCTCGCGCAGCCGGTTGAGCGTGGCCTTCATTCGAGCGGCCACTGCAGACCCCTTCCTCGAGGATCCCAGGTCCATCTGTACCTGAATCGGGGGTTCCGTATCTCGGCCATACATTAGATAGAAGGGCGAGAACCCCATTGAGGCATGAGGGGCCATCCTGTACGTGGCCAGGGCCCCCGGGACGAACAGGTCCCAGTCCAACTGGGACGTGCTCACCTGATGGCAAAGCATAGACGTGAGGGTGCGGTTTAACTGTTCAACCATGCCATTGGACTGAGGGTGATAGGGCGATGTACGAATTTTCTTGGTGCCAAAAAGGTCACAGACCTCCTCAAGCAGTATTGAAGAAAAATGTCGGCCCTGGTCCATTAATAGTTGTTCTGGCGCACCCTTGTCCAACACATAACCCTGCACAAAGGCCTCGGTGATGGACGAGGCCGACTGGTCTGGCAAAGCCACGCCATAGGCCAGCGCGTGAGGTATTCGACCCCAACTAAAAGATATTTGTGTCCCCATTGGGACATCGGAAAGGGGCCCAAAATGTCAATTGCCACGAGTTCATTTACACGAGCAACCCGGATGGACTGCAGCGGGGCCCGATCATGGCCAACCGGGGCCTTCCACCGTGCACAATCATGGCAACCTTTCAAAAACAGTGCCACATCACTCTCCACACCTGGCCAGTAGTAGTCCCGTTTAAGGGTCAACAAGATCTTATGATAACCCAGGTGCATAAGTTTCTCGTGAATGTCAGGAGTCAATTTTCCTCACAAGCCAGTGGGTACCACCACACAATAGCGCTCCAATTCAGTATCTCAACACATGAGGAGGCCGTCATGCACAACCGGACCCGCCGACGAAGCTGAGCCCCGGGCGTTTATCCCAACACAGCGTCATAACTCCAACAAAGAGGAGTCATCTATCTGCAAGTTGGACCACACCTCTTGGGAGAGACCCAGGCCAATGTCCGGAGGGGGGGCTGCTTCGGCCGTTGCAACCAACTAGGCCGCGGTGTCAACCGGGGTCCTACAGCGACTGGAACCCAGGGTACACGCGCACCCGCCCTCCGTAGGCAATCTGGACGAGCCATCTGCGTTTCCATGCTGTGTCCCCTTCCTGTGGATGACATTGAAGGAATATTCCTGCAGCACCTCAAGCCAGCGGGACAGCTGACCTAAGGGCTGATCTATCCGCAGGGAATATTTCAGGGCCACATGGTCAGTTCGAACGGTAAACCGCTTGCCATACATGTAGGGCCTATACAGCTGCACAAAAACCACAATGGCCAGCAGCTCTCTCCGGGTCACACAATACCGCTGCTCAGCGGGGAACAACACGCGACTGCCGTATGCAACGACCGCAAGCACATATACATGCCCGTCTGAAGTTTGCCAATGAACATCTGAATGATTCAGAGGACAACTGGGTGAAAGTGTTGTGGTCAGATGAGACCAAAATTGAGCTCTTTGGCATCAACTCAACTCGCCGTGTTTGGAGGAGGAGGAATGCTGCCTATGACCCCAAGAACACCATCCCCACCGTCAAACATGGAGGTGGAAACATTATGCTTTGGGGGTGTTTTTCTGCTAAGGGGACAGGACAACTTCACCGCATCAAAGGGACAATGGACGGGGCCATGTACCGTCAAATCTTGGGTGAGAACCTCCTTCCCTCAGCCAGGGCATTGAAAATGGGTCGTGGATGGGTATTCCAGCATGACAATGACCCAAAACACACGGCCAAGGCAACAAAGGAGTGGCTCAAGAAGAAGCACATTAAGGTCCTGGAGTGGCCTAGTCAGTCTCCAGACCTTAATCCCATAAAAAAATCTGTGGAGGAAGCTGAAGGTTCGAGTTGCCAAACGTCAGCCTCGAAACCTTAATAACTTGGAGAAGATCTGCAAAGAGGAGTGGGACAAAATCCCTCCTGAGATGTGTGCAAACCTGGTGGCCAACTACAAGAAATGTCTGACCTCTGTGATTGCCAACAAGGGTTTTGCCACCAAGTACTAAGTCATGTTTTGCAGAGGGGTCAAATACTTATTTCCCTCATTAAAATACAAATCAATCTATAACATTTTTGACATGCGTTTTTCTGGATTTTTTGTTGTTATTCTGTCTCTCACTGTTCAAATAAACCTACCATTAAAATTATAGACTGCTCATTTCTTTGTCAGTGGGCAAACGTACAAAATCAGCAGGGGATCAAATACTTTTTTCCCTCACTGTATATAGCAGGGGTCACCAAAAAGATTTTCTAAATCATGAGCAAACACAAGATCCAGGTTCGATTTAACACCATACATAAAATTCGTGATCTGATCCCATCTGTGAAGGATGTGATCCTTGACATGCAATACCCCGGTGTCTACAAACTAAGATGTGCCTGCGGCAGTAGTTACATTGGGGAAACTAAGCGACATGTCTCAGACCATGTTCGTGAACATAAGGCAGATCTGAAACACGGTAGGACCAATACGTCAGTCAGGACTGATCATTGTTTTAATGTGGTGGGCTCACACGAAATACATTTCTCCAAGACGAATGTACTCTGCAAACCCACTGGCTATCAACAAAGATTCGTTCATGAAGCCATCCATATATATAGACACAGACACACTTTCAACCGAGAAGATGGGTACAAACTGAACAATCATTGGAAGGACGTTATTAACCAGTTTACATCATAATTGGCTGTGATGTTTCCATCCTACCTTCCGATGTTAGCAGTTATTTTCGACTCTCTGATTTTACATTAACAGGTTCACACTAACATAGCCGCCGTTTACATTGACATGTTAATCTCTTACATTGACATACTAATCTCTCTCACTTTAACATCACAAGCCCCGCCTACTTCATTTATGACCCTTGGGCTACACCCATTTCAAACCTTTAAAACAGCCTGCCTCAGCAGCTTTCCCCCTCTTTTTAAATCCTTTATATTAAGTTCACTTGCTTGCTTGCTTGCGCGCTTACGACCGTGCAAATCTTTCGGTCGTTTTTTAACCCACTTCCCGTGATCCAACCGAGCTGACATTTTGCACACAGACTCGTTGTGCGTGACAATTTATTTTTGTGAAAATTTTTTTCCAAAATTTTCCACTTTTTAGGAATTTTTTTTTTCATATTTTATTTAAAATACCAATGTGATCAAAATGAAACTCTTACTCAAGAAAAACAGAAATGAATAATAAAATAAAACCGATGCCACGCATATAAAGGATTTATAGTGAAAAACTTTGTTTTTACGGGTTAATTTTTTTAATCCTTTATATTAAGTTCACTTGCTTGCTTGCGCGCTTACGACCGTGCAAATCTTTCGGTCGTTTTTTAACCCACTTCCCGTGATCCAATCGAGCTGACATTTTGCACACAGACTCGTTGTGCGTGACAATTTATTTTTGTGAAAAATTTTTTCCAAAATTTTCCACTTTTTAGGAATTTTTTTTTCATATTTTATTTAAAATACCAATGTGATAAAAATGAAACTCTTACTCAAGAAAAACAGAAATGAATAATAAAATAAAACCGATGCCACGCATATAAAGGATTTATAGTGAAAAACTTTGTTTTTACGGGTTACTTTTTTCTCCTGATGACAAACGTCGTGATATTTTTATTATTTTTGTATTAACTTTATTTTCATTTTTTTTTGTTCTATCTATGTGACTTTACCGAAAGACCCAAAGAAGAGATGGCTATACTTTTTTGGAGTGTGGCCTCTTGACATTGACTAAAGCACACACAGCTCTTATCTTCCTACAGCAGATTCCACATGTGAGGAATGATTGAAGAGTACATGGTCTGACATAAATAGTAATTACCAATCTTGATTTGAATGTGTTTTAGGAGTTATTTTGTTCCTGGCTCCTCTAGAAGTACAATGTAATTGGTTAATCGATGTTCTGAGATTTTAATCCCTGTCTGGCAGATTGCTCTGTCTTGCCCCGTCTTCAAATCAGGCGGGTTCACAGCAAACTCTACTTGATTGCCACTAAACAACTGTTTTCCCTGCAAGTGACCTTTTTGGAGGGCCCTGCCAAGTTGTCTCAGTTGCAGGCAAGCTTGCTGCTGCTGTGTAATCTAAGTTGAGTAATCTGCTGGTGATTTTTCACCATTGGGATGTTTGGCCAATACAGTACCAGTACATGAATTGTTCTTTTTAGCTATATATATTTTAAGCTATAAAATGTGTTTAAGCTATGTAACATTAGCTACATTTTTATTATTATTATATATATGAATCCCCTGTGATTGTTGGAAGTGATGTTCCATGGACCAAATCACAAGGAATGCGCTCGATCTCATTGGATATCAGAAGCTAAGCAGATAGTGATCTATTATTTTTCTACCTACGTGACTTTAACGAAAGAGCCACAGAGTATGGATCCCTGCAGTCACGAAAGCTTCAAACCAAGACAATGTAGTAGTACCGAACATTGAACCTTCTTGTTGTAGCTCGCACGCAAATCTTTCAACGTCGGTCCAATAACACGTAAACTTCACTACATTACCTCGGCCATCAGCTCAAAGGTGTAGGCGTAGGCGGGCTGGGAGTACACGAACACGGGCAGCGACGGCCGGGACGTTGCGGCCACGCGGAGCGCCTCCTGCACGCGGTGCCGCACGAACCTCTCGCCGTTGCGTGACGAGGCGAGCGTCCGCTCCATGTAGACAGAGGGGAAGAGCGCCGTGCTGCCCTCCCACAGCCAGCGCAGGTCGTCATTCCGCCGCAGCTCGACGGCCGGGCACCGGCCCGTGTAGTTGAGCGGCCGCTCCTTGTAGTCGTAGTTGTAGCAGTCAGGGAAGAGGTAAAAGCCCCAGAGCGTGCGCGGCCTCAGGCCCCTGGCCAGGCGGATCGTCTCATTCATGAAGGCGAGCGCCGCCGCGTCGAACTCCCTCTGGGCCTGCAGGGACACCCTGGGGCCCGGCCAGTTGGGCCGGCGCTCCCGCACGAGCTGCCGTGACTTCTGGCGGTACACGTCCTTCCTCTGCCAGTTGCGCACCCACTGCGGCCGCCACTCCTCCCAGTCGATGACGGCCAGCTGGCCGGGCCCCGAGCTGGCCGCCCGGCGCGCCACGTACATCTCGATGTCGAGCCGCGCCTTCTCGAGGTGGCGCTGGAGGCTGGCGTTCTGCGGAAGGCCACCATTGACGGGCGTTCCGTCCTCGGTGTAGAGCGGGTAGAGGCCCAGGCGGTTGTAGTAGAAGACGGTGACGCTCTGCGCCGTGATGCCCTCGCTGGGACTGGAGGACATGTCGAAAACGCCGAGGTTGAGGTCCACGTTGAACCGCTTTCGGCACTGCTGCGTGGGCGCGTTCCAGACCACGATGAACGGCCGGTTGGTCATCACTGGAGGCTTCGTCTGGTTGAGCTGCTGGGGCTTGGTCGATGCTGCTGCTGCTGCCTCCATCGTCACTAGAAGACTCGCGAAGATCAGAGCTTTGAGGGATATTTCCAAAACGCCAGTGCCCAAGGCTCTCGTGCGAATCATGTTTGTTCAGGCTTCTTGTTTTGAGGTGTCTAGAAATACAGAGCAAAAGAACAGGTTTTAAGTAAAGATTGCTCTCTGCCAATACACGGTCCACGTGTTCTGTTTGACCGTAGCGTTAATAATACATTTTCCATAAATAAAATAACTCGTTAGTGCGCGCCATTTTCTAATGAGTACACATGAATTTCGGGATCACTGTGATTCTGAAATTACGCATGTCATCTGGTTTATTTACTTTTGTATTTTAAGTTTTTTTTTACTCTAACACGGTATTACATAGTACAAATTCTATAGAAAGTAAGAGAGACGTGCAGGGTTTATGAATATATGGCGATCTGTGGCAGGCCACGCGTGACAAGAATGCGTTCATATGCCCGTTTGTGTCATTACCGCAACAATTATGGCACATTTACCCCACAGATCCCCTCACGGCTTTATAGTCCATTAAATTCCTGGTAAAAAGCAGTAATTACAATGTTGTGTGAGTCAGTTTTTTTATACAACACCAAGCACTACCTAACTGAATATTCATTACTTTTCCATGAGGCAATCACACGACCATTACGGTAATTCTGCGTAGAAACTCAAATGTTGCGTAAAAATTGGAGCCCTGTCAAAAGTTTCCTATCATTCATTGACTTTTAGTGGCGAGAAATTATCATGCATTAGGAGTGTAACCGACACGTGCACATGAACAAGTTTCAAGTTTGTTAAATTTGTTTAACCAGGTGAGAAGTCGAGACCAGCGGTCTCGTTCGTAAAAGTGATGTGGGGCTTGAGTCTGCCAGGAGGGGGCGATGACTACTGTTGTCTGTGTCATTCCAAAGAATGTGTCATTCCAATTAAGTAATTTGCACAACAGTAGGAGTTGCAAGAGTGCTGAATTATATCATGCACAAGAATACATTTGTACGCGCGTATCTGTACCCAAATCACCAGGAAAGCGCCTGATCTCATTAGATCTCTGGATAGGTGACCACCTTGCGCATAAGACAGATGTCCGAGGTGTGGTGGGCAGTAGGAAGTAATGACCGGCGTGATGAAGTATGGTCAAATATTCCCTGCGGCCCGCACGGCGTGGGGCGGCCTTCATCCAGCAGTGTGTTTGCAAGATTAGCTGTAAACATGTGTGTACACTCACGGTGAACGGTGTTCGCTCGATTTGAACTCTACTACACGACTGCAGTCTAAAATGTACAGAAACCTTTGCTTTTTTGCAAGAATGCTAAATGTATGCAAATTATAATTGAAATGCTAATACACAGATTGTTACATAATTATTAAACGGCGGGCACTAAGCGTTATAAATTACAATTATACACCGAATTCAAGAGATTACGGTTAAATATGCATAAGGATTCATATCCGCCACTATCCAGAGAATATGAAATGGCAAAGGGTTTCTCTGAATTTCTTTATCATTGTGTTAAGGGGTGGGTATAGAGTGGGTGGTGTAACAGGGCAGCAGTGGCGCAGTCGATGGCGATCCCACTAACCTGGTTTCCATTCTTATCCATGGATAACGTCAGTGCCAAGAGGACACTGATGATATTATGAAGTTTCCATTTGTCCTGGTTTTCCCAGCACGTAAAACAAACGGCTTCTATAGATGCATACCAAGCGTATCATTTCCATACGGATAAATGCTCATCTTTATCAGATTTCTCACGAAATAAACCCCCCTGTCACCATATTTCTGTAGTGACATCAGGGATGTCACTGTATGGTGCCGGCCCCGAAGGGTCGTGGCCGTTCGATGTTCCTACATTGTGGACAGCACCGTGTGGGTGGCTGTGTGTAATACCAGCCCTAGCGGAGCTTGGCGAGCACTGGGATAGTGCGGGCACCACACACGGTTGCCCCGGGCCATGGCACTCTGGTTGACCCCGTAGACACGTGATCCGGAATGTACACACAGGGGGCCCCGGGTGGGGGAACTGGTGGGTGATCACGTGTCCAGAGAGAGTTCTTGAGAATGTTCGGGAAGGCGGGCGGGGCCAAGCGCGGTGCGGCCCCAACCGGAGAGGGATATTAAGGCAGGTCCCTGAGAGGGACCGGGGTCGCTGCATTCTACAAGCTGGAAGCTCAACATCTACAAGCGGAAAGCTCTACGTCTCAGGCTGAAGCTCTCCATCCTACGAGGCAGCCACGTGGTTGGAGACCCGTGTGAGTGATCGACCCTTCGTAGCCGTAACTCGCTGTAGTCTGGTAAAGGGGCAGTTACCCCTTTGTGTTACGGTGTTACAAATAAAGTGTTGCCTCTAAAAGGAACAACGTCTGCGACTCAGTTGGACCCACTACATTTCTGACAAAACAAGCAGTCATTAAAGATGGGAGCGATAACCCTTGTCTCCGTATCCCAGACTGCCCGGTGCAGGTTTTGAGGTTTGTAAGAGATAAATATATAATTTATAGTTACGCACTACAGGGTTGGCACTTGGCCTGGTTTTTCAGGATCATCCTCTGTTTTTGCGAGCTGCCACCTTAGAAAGCCTGTAAATCTTCCCGAATAATTCACACATCCAGTTTTTTTTGTCAAATAATAGCAATATTATTACAATACATCACTTCAGAAAATGTACGTGTAGTTTTCCCCTCTTGTATTGTGAGATATGCTTCTTCCCAAGATGTCCTGGTTTTTGTACTTCGGAGGTGGCAACATTCGTGGCAAGTGGTGTTTTAACCTGTCCTGGGCATTCCGTAAGCTGTACTCTGCCTCAAGTGGGGACCTGTTGCTGTGAACAAAACATCAACGCGAGGGAGACAACGGTGACCAGACCTACTATTCACGCCATTCAATGAAATGCTGAACTCTATCTGCACTATATGTTGTCATCTTCATAGTGACGTTTGATGCCCAGGCCAGATGTTTTCTACATTTTGCGATCTTCAGCATCTCTCCTGGAGAGTTCTGTCCGTCCCATCAGCTGATCCGTTTCCTTTCTCCATCCCGTCCATCGTTCCACGTTCACCTCCACAATGAAGGAAAGTGATGCTGCTGCTGTTACGGGCAATAGGCAGTCACTAACAGCACAGCAGCACTTGATCCAACAGTGTATACAGCTAAAGAGGAGGACTTCATTTCCATATAGTATGTCGTTTGTTGAATTCAATATCCCAGCTGCACTGGCAGATGTAATACAGCACCGTTTAAATTGACACTTCGAGCCAACATCACATGTTGTTTGAAATACGTAAAATATATATACGGTATTTAGGAAAATAGCACCGGTGCTTAAAGCAATCGTCTTCTTTTATAGTCTACGATCAAATCACCCAGAATGTGTCCAATCTGCTTACATTTCGGAAGCCAAGCAGAGCTGAGATTGGTTGTTGTTACCGAGATGGGAGACTGCCTGGAAATGCCAAAAGTGTTGTGGGTCATGGGCTGCGAGGTGGCCAGGGGACAGCAGCACACCAGTGGATTTTAAAAAAATGTGTGTAGATCTTTCGATGTTGCCACCTCATATCTATGGAATTTCTCCAGGTATTCCTGCTTCCTCCCACATGAAGCCAACCATTCTCACCCTGTGAGAATTCTCCAACATCCCAATGCAGAGTCTCCCTCAATATACGAGCGCAGAGACTCAATGAAGCTCTCCTGGGTAAATAATGTGGATTTTAACACTGTTCTTGTAGTTGTGCTGTATGGCTTTGGTGTGTGTGTTAGAGTTGTACTGTATATCTTTTGGCACAATATCTGACGTTTTGCTCCATATACCTGGGAGCTTCTTTAGGAATTGAATGTATTTAATCGATTTACTTTATTCCTGAATACATTTCCAGCCTGTTATGCAAAACGTTGTAAATCATGCCAAACAACAGACGGTACAATTCAAAAACACATCGGATGGTATTTAGTATCATTATGTTTTAAAATAGTTTTTTTTCCCCGATTGCAGTGTGTGTCCCAATTGTATTATCTACATGTAAAACCAATGCACTGAAATCTTCTGCACAATGTTTCACAAAGTGTACAGCCACACCACAAGCCCTGGACGAGTCCTAGAACCACTCAAAATATCTAAGCATCATAGCAGGGCTAGTATCGGATGAAAACACAGCATATTTCAACATCCGATATTAGTGCAGTAACTTATAACTCGACTTTGCAGAACGTGCAAGTGTTACCTGTGTTGCGCACCTGGGTTTCAACCCTTCCGTTCCCTCCTGCGCTGTCTTCTTGCTATCCAGAATTGGTGAGCCATCTGGCCATCTGTTAAATATCACTGTGGTTTCCCAATGTGAACCAGTTATGTAATTGCAGTATTTAATGTTTATCATGCACCAAAATTAATCTGGCCAGGTGGCACTGTGGTTAGAGAGCACTCGACTCGGAAGGTTTACACCTCGATTGGGTGAAGGTGCGCACTTGCAACCGCATGCACAGAGGCACTGCTGGCATGAATGATTGTGTATGCCGGTAACTCGGTGTTTCTCCAAGTATCTGCTCTCCCACAAGATATAGGCATCTTTACTACACCTCGCTACAATACATAATGCAGCCTGAACGATAAATAATTTGTGAAAATCAATGCTACTGATATGTGTTAATTGTGATACATTTGGAAGAATTTCACGCTCTGGATCCACGTTTACTACACCCGTGCGTGCCTCTGCCTTTGGGAAATTGCGAGTTCCTCATTTTTGGAGGGCTTGTGACTTTAAACAAAAGTGGTATTCATCCGATTATTTGCTCCAAACAAAATTAACTTTCATTAAATATTTGGCAGTGGTTTTATTTTGCACCAGAAGCTCGTCTCATTTTTTACTCTGTGCCAGAGGGACGCTGACACCCAAAACAGAAGACTCAACCTCAAACACAACGATGAATATCATTAATACGATACCGCAATGTAAATAAATTTGGCATGGAAAACTTCACGCTCTCAGAAATGCAGTGATTTTTTTTACAACTTTAGGAATCATTATTTCTGTCTTGTTTGTATTGTCTGTTTCAGTAATTCCGTCTTGTAAATGCTGTCCATAATTGAATTAGCCTAAAGGTACGTTGACAAAGAATTGGAATATAATTTGTGTAAATACAAAATAACCACGCATACGAGTATCATAAACTACAGAACTTTGATAGATTAATCAAAGACTCATTACACGCGTGCTTGTTTGATTAGCAGCAGCAGACTTTGAGCTGAATAAACCCATCTTGGTGTTTGGGGGTGGTTAAGCCAAGAGTTGAGCCAAGCCTTGCCCTTGGGTTAACAGCATGACGCTTGGCATGAATGTTCATTGTTATGCCCTAAGCCAGCAGTCCTTAACCGGTGGGTCGTGCCTCCCCAAACCTTCATGGGAATGGGGCACAGGCTATGAAATTAATACCGTGCAGGAGAAATTTCGAATGTGCAGCAACAACAAAACGGGTAACACTAATACACAACATGTATGTATGTATGTTGAATTTCTTTCGCATCGAACGTAGCCAACCGTGAGATACAAATCAAAGTGCCACCAAATCAAAGATGTTGAGGACCACTGCCAGAAACATTTTCTGAAGTTGACCCAATATAGGAATGTAAGTTTCGCGCAGAATTTTTCTGAATAACTCAACTACATCAAACAATTTTCATTGATCATATATTATTGTCGTTGAAGCAGGTAAGAAGAGGCATATTACAATCAGAAACAGCAGCTTTGACCTATTCACTGAAGACGATGGGTAAAATTATATCCTGTTAGCCTACGATTCATATTGAAACATAGGATATACTGTGCAGAGATTGTGTGAAAGTCTGTACCCAAAATGTATCAAGTTAAGTAAAGCAACAAATCACAAACAAGGAACGAACCTGGCACATTACACCGTCAATCAACATAACCCCTCTGTGCAGGCCACATAATGTATTTACCCGAATAAACTGGTGCGGGTTTGTCTAGAGGCGAGTCCCCATCACAGAAATGTGGAATTTTACGCCACCGGGTCAAGACCCTCAACAGAGATGAGTGCCACCCAACACTTGTTTGAGAATGAGGACTTCTTAATTTGTCTGTGCAGTCTGGTGACCGGGCTAAAACCATTAACTCACTAAATTTGAATCATTCGCTTTAATCGCAGGTGACCCTAACAAAGCCCAGAATTACAGTGGTACTGGATTTATGCTCTGGCATCACCATTATGAGCCTCCTGTGCCACCTGGCCAGCTCCTCAAATGTCCTTCAAAGTAAAAATAAAAGTGGTGCCCTGGCTCAAAGGAGTATGAACCAGCACTCACCTCCTACCGCTCAAATCACGAACCAGCTGTGGAAATTCCGCATTCCTCTGCCGGAAGATAAACCTTCCATTGCACAACCACTCCAGGCTTACATATGTAGAGGTGTAATTGTGTATGGGCACGGATGGCTAACAAACACAAGGGGCGTGGTTAGGGCCGTACACAGAGGAGGTGCTCACACCGACGTCCGCACCTGCATCCCCCACGGGCCCCTCCCGGGGGCCGAGTACTATAAAAGGTGGTGAGCCGGAGGGCTCGAGGTGGAGTATTAGCTTAAACCAGCGAAGACTGAAGACAGCTAGAATAGGCCCCGGAGCTCCCCTGTCAGGGCCGACCAGGGCAAGCCGGTGGCGTGGCCCCAAGAGCCCAGACTGACGTTCTTATAAGAGCCGGTCTGGAGACTCAGGGTGCCGGGATCCCAGCTTGACCAGGGCTGGGATAGGTAGCCTCCCCTAGCTCCGTAGTAGAGGACTTGGGCGTAGGTTAACGGAGAATTAACAACAAATATACGTGAAAACTGGCTAACCCACTTACGCTCCAGCACAGCCCCCCCCCCCCGTTAGAATCACGCATGCAATGACAGTCACCCGTTAGCACCCCCCCCCGCCTTTCCGACGCGGCGTCACAACCAGTAGCACGCGTCGGCCATATCGGGGGGGGAATTTCCATGTTACCACCCCACCGCCTTTCCGACGCGGCGTCACAACCAGTAGCACACGTCGGCCATATCGAGGGGGGAATTTCCATGTTACCACCCCACCGCCTTTCCGACGCGGCGTCACAACCAGTAGCACGCGTCGGCCATATCGGTGGGATTTTAACCCAGTCTCTCTCCAAGACTCGCATCGCAGCATATAGCTGTACCGACCGAGCTGAGATGACCCAGTCTCTCTCCAAGACTCGCATCGCAGCATATAGCTGTACCGACCGAGCTGAGATGACCCAGTCTCTCTCCAAGACTCGCATCACAGTTTCAACGCGCCTCGGAGGGTCTCAACCTCCGAGCCGTCAGGTCAAGCTGTCAGCCATAGCATGACGGGACCACACTCCCTGAGCCATGTGAGCGCACAGCCCACAAGGCTAGACAAGCCACAGAGTGTCTCGATCTCCGGGCTGTCAGGTCAAGCCGTCAGACACAGCATGACGGGACCACACTCTCCGAGCCATGTGAGCGCACAGCCCACTAGGCTAGACAAGCCACGGAGTGTCTCGATCTCCGGGCTGTCAGGTCAAGCCGTCAGCCATTGCATGACGGGACCACAACGTTCATGTTAGACACGCAACACTCACTAGGCCATCCTGGTCAGGATCTGCGCCCCAAGATAAGTGACAGCCAGCACCACAATTCCAAATCCCTGGCAGCATGTCACCATCGCAATTTAACACCATCACAACACATACAATTTGAATTATGATCCCCCACAGAACTGATCCGATGCCGAACAGGTACACACAATTTGTGACGATCCCGAATATTCAATGGTCACAACAATACACCTCACATCCCG